TTGGTTAGCTAGCTAGCGAATTTGAGCCATATTCGCATTGACATGAAATCAGTCAAAACACCTCAAAACAAGACATGGTATCAATAACATGATGAAACATGCTGAAATAATCCACTTATGATTCCCACACATGGCAGTGTCATTCTTGCTAGCAATCTGGCCATCCAAAATCACAACAGGCTGATTTATGCCCCATGGAAGCCCGCACATCGTTTTCGTGACGTTGTCAGCCAACCCATCTATGTAGCTAGATGCTAAATAATTGTATTGTAAACACACACACTCTATTCACTTACTCCTGCAAATACAACAACCATCTCTGTGTTTGTTGAGCTGCATCTTCAATTCTGTATGTCCATCTTCTATAAATGTGAAAAAAAATTTAACAGCTATCCAGCTTGTTTTTTTTAACAGATAACGTAATGTTAGCTAGCTAATTGAGCTGACGTTACCAAAAGTAGTTAACGTCATGTTAGCCATAAGTTAGCTAGCTATCTATATTAGTCATTTTTTGCATATTTGGACAGTAATTGGTTAGTTAGTGATACTTTGTCGGGTGGTGAACAGAGCTCCAGCAGTTGGATTCAGTGTCCAGATAGCTAATCAATAACTGTACTGTCAAAACCCTGCTCATAAAATGTGCTAGGTTGCTGATGAAGCAGCACTGCTAGCTAGACTGGGTAGGCCCTCACATTAGTTAGTTAGCTTAACGTTATCTGTCAGTGCAGCTTTTGAGTCAACATGTTGAAATGTAAATTACTCGAATCTGGCTTACTGTGAGGTCAATAACTCTGAATAACATCATCATGGGCTAACAAAATGTGCTATAGTATTAGCAAGCTAACAAAGTTGACCTCTGGTTCTCCTTCTCATCTTTGCGCTCTCACACTCAGAGAATGAACAGTCGCCTGCGTGCGCCAAAATATACTTTTTTGGGATTCAACAAAAATGACTTTGGAAAACAACCTTTTGACTGCTCCTCCTAAAGTGCCACTGTACACAGAAATGCTGGTTTTAGTCAGCACTAAAAAGGCAGGGCAGGCCAGGGCTCATGTTTGGAATTTTCATTGCAGTGTGTAATGCAGTGTAGCCTAGCTTGTTTTACACCATCCCAGCAGGGCAAATGACTCTGAGCTGAGACAAAATCATTCCGGGCTAAAGCCCCGAAAGCCCAGGTCTGGTGACGTCAATGGTGTATAATCATCTCACTTTAGTCTCTTTGTGTAAATAGTATTTCCCCCCTTTGAGCAACAATTCCACGATATATTCATATTTACCCCCAATATGAGTAAACTGCTAATTTTGACTGTATGGAGTCTGGCTTTAAAGATGCTAAAACATGCTTTAAAATTAAATGGTTTTGCTCTGCAGCGTCAACAAATGAAATGTGCCAGCTTAGCCTGCAGGGAGTTATATTGCGGAAGTACTCAGAGTGCATTAGACAGAAACAATTGATCAAAACAGACTAATTAATCTATGTGTTTTACATATATTAATTTGCCTCATAAAATATTGATGACAATAAACGTATTTGTTTTTCAAATGATGAAGAGGCTATCAAATATTTCAGACACAGACCTCATTAAGGGAAAGAAGCCTAGAGCCAGCATGCATTTTTAAAGGGGCAGGATGGATTCACAATGGCACTGGGCTGCAACCTGGTCTCAGAGCATTTCATATTATTCTGTACGTAAATCCGAGACACTCCATTTAGTATGATATGTTACGATTCGTATGGTATATTTTAATTTGTATGTCCATATCCCATTTCGTATGATATGTTACGAATTACAATTACGCTAATGATAAACACTGTGTGTCTGTAATACTATATTAGATCCTTCTGTTAAAGCAGCAATCAGCTGTTGAAACAATAACAAAGCTTACCCCTGCCCCCATTTCGATTAAAAGCTAAGGGATTGGGTTGGAGAAATGTAACCGCTCTCAAATACATAGACAGAGCTATGGATGCAAGGACTGACCATCCATGAGATAAAAATAATATACCTGTTTATTTTAGTGTGTGTTTACATTTATTTTGTTTACAAACATTGGAGTTAAACAATATAATATTTTGGGTTCTGATGGGGTACTACAGTTGAACTAAGCTCATGAGGCATGTGTTATATTGTTCAAGAATCAATGGGTACATTTCATTAATTGCAACTGCAGATTGTCCATTTAAGAGAAATTAAAACCATAGGATATGTTGGGAACTTTCTAATTTTATGGAACTGGTCCTTGTAGTTTAAATAAACCAGGTGCTAACTTTATGACAAGAATGGGATGCCGTAAATGTAATGCTAGAATAGGCTACCTCTGGATTTCATTACTGCTTCGAGGTCCAGTGGCCCACTACTACTGTACTATTATTAGGGCCCTGTGTTTTGGTTAATGGTGTCACATGACCTGGATTTTAACCTTTATTTTAAGCCTTTTCCAGAAATGAGAATTAGACCAAAAATGAAAGCAATTGTCTGAGGAGGGTGCTGGACTGTGTGACATAAAAAGAAAAGGGGAAAGTTTGGTGGAAAAGCTTTAAGTAAATGTTAGAATCCAGGTCATGTGACATGATTAACCAAAACACAGGGTCCTAACTATTATTCATAAATCTAGTCTGAATTGTTCAGCCTCTGAGCAGCAACGTTCTGCTCATTCTGCTTGCAGCGAGTGCCAATGTGACTCACTCTACCGTTAGCGTCAGCAGGTGACCCGTGCACTCCACGTGGTGACTCACCGGTGTTCCGGGGACAAGGACACGCGTGCCAATCATAACAGGTGCACACGGAGAGCCCGGGAAATACCGGGAGAGGAAGGGTAATGGCCCATTTAATGATAGTGTTATCACAAACGGAAGATGAGGGCAAACGAGGTCAGTGACACGTGGACCATTAAGCCATTATAGTTCGAAGTGATGTGATAAAGCCTTGACAAGGTGGTGGCGGGCATGACATTTATGAATAATCTACCCTTAATTGTTGCAGGTCATTAAGAATAATGCAGGTCATTAATAAAGCAATCTATAAAAAGTTAAGATATAAATATCGTCAGGTATATCAAACAATCTCCATCAGTATGGTTAATTCATTATTAAACAGTCATTTGTTCATGGATATTGAGCTGGGAGATTCTAGATCGTAGCCTATTCATGAGGGGTTCTACAATGCAGACTGCAATTCATCGTACAAACACCAGAGGGCGTTTGGCCCCATTGATATCAGTGGCAGAAAATCCAAAATATCACTTCTTGTTACCTTCTCTTTCCCAACATCAGGTAACTTCTACTTGAGATGCAAACGTACTCCCTAGCATACCTCTTTAAAGCATCAATCAATAAATAGACTCAGAACACTAACCTTTCACATACAGTGCATTCAAAAAGTATTCAGACCCTTCACTTTTTCCACATGTTATGTTATAGCCTTATCCTAAAAATGATTAAATACATTTTTTCCTCATCAATCTACACACAATACCCCACCGCCACCATGGGGCACTCTGTTCACAACGTTGACGTCAGCTCACCAACACTACGCCATACATGCGGTCTCCCATCTGCCCGTTACAGTTAAAACCGGGATTCATCCACGAAGAGCACTTCTCCAGTGTGCCAGTGTCCATCGAAGGTGAGCATTTGCCCACTAAAGTCGTTTACGATGCCGAACTAGTCAGGTCAAGACCCTGGTGAGGACGATGATGTGCTTTCCTGAGACCGTTTCTGACAGTTTGTGCAGAAATTCTTCGGTTGCGCAAACCCAGTTTCATCATCTGTCCAGGTGGCTGGTCTCAGACCATCCCGCAGGTGAAGAAGCCGGATGTGGAGGTCCTGGGCTGGCGTGGGCTGCATGAAGCAAATGGTGGTCACACCAGATACTGTTTTTCTGATCCACGCCCCTACCTTAAGGTTCTGTGACCAACAGCTGCATATCTGTATTCCCAGTCATGTGAAATCCAGATTAGGGCTTTATGCATTCATTTAAATTGACTGATGTCCTTATGTGAACTGTAACTCAGTAAAATCTTTGAAATTGTTACTTAAATTTTTTTGTTCAGTGTATAATGAGACTCAGCAATTCCTCATTTCACAGAATTGTTTGTGGGTGTGGCACAAGACATGTATATAATATATATAATAATAATAACATGTAGCCCCCCCAAAATTGGCTGTCGTTTCAAATACTCTAAAATTACATGGAAAAGGTGAGAAAAATCACATGAAATATCATAAGGTTAAATCTTATTTCAATTTCTTTATTTATCTTTTAAAACCAATAGGAATTGGGGATGTCTTCAACATGGGTACAATGATAAAATAACTGACCATTTGCTTTCTTTTCCACCTCTTTTCCTTCAGAGTGAGAGTAGGGATTAACAGTTGTATCGTAGAGAGTGTGTTTGTACATCTGTGTGTGCTTGTAACTGTGTGTGCGCGTGCCCATGGGGCGGCGCACAATTGGCCCAGCGTCGTCCAGGGTAGGGGAGGGAATGGCCGGCAGGGATGTAGCTCAGTTGTTAGAGCATAGCGTTTGCAACGCCAGGGTTGTGGGTTCGTTTCCCACGGGGGGCCAGTATGAAAAAATAAAAAATAAATAGTGTATGCACTCACTAACTGTAAGTCGCTCTGGATAAGAGCGTCTGCTAAATGACGTACATGTAAATGTGTGCAGTCATTGTAGGGAAGTCCTATTGTAAACCCAGTAAGCAGCCTTGATGAATGGAAAAAAAGTACCTACAGTAAGACTAGCCAAGTGTCTTCCTGTGAAACTGTTTGTGTGTGTAGGACGGTCATACGGGGATTGGTGGCTTTTCCGAGGTGGACTGAATATTGCACTCCCGTGAGGTAAAAAAAAAGAAAAAGAAAAATGTAACAGAAAATTGTCCTTGCCCCAATCAAACTCCAGACTGCCTTGCTAGTTATAACCAGTGAATAAATACAGCGGACATTTAAAAAACCCAGCCAACCCCATAATTAAAAAGTGACTGAGGGGGGGAGGGGGGGGGGGGCATTACAGCAATTTCAGTGGAATTTTTTGGCGATTTTGTGTTGTACAAAAATACCTCAATAACCCTAATGGACTGTCATTTTTAGTTTTTTTGTCCTAAACAGAATAATATTTTATTGTGCTGAAGGGTTAATTTTTTAAAATTATATATATATTAAAAAGGTACATAACCCTGGGCATAATTAATATCATTAACAATTCAAGAAAAATAAACAAATGATCAATATCGATAACATTTTTGTTGATATATTTTTATCACCAGTTAAACTTTCATGTACATGTGTGTAAAAAAGAGGAACCGCTATCCATGATTCAACACTGAAAATAAAAATGTGGATGACTCGAAGAAATGCTAGGCCCATGATTGGACAACTTGGAGGCATCTGTGTGCTTTGACCTTCTCCTTCATTCGTTCAGACCTCTAGATTTGCATTAATTCAAATGGAATCATTCGCTCATTATTTCATCAATTTTGTGATCAATTAGCCATGTCTCAGTGTTATCAAATCACAATAATTACTGATAGCTTTCTCTCGTTGTTTTATCTCCCCTTCGTTGGAATAATGTTGTTTGATGGAGAGGCTGCACACACACACACACTATTGGATGCAGCAGTTGTGGCCGTTGGCATCCTTGAACCGCAGACGCATCTTGGGTCTGTATTTCTCCAGGTAAAGTAGCTGTTTGGAGTTGAAAGCTCCACGTCTCTTCCTGAGGGAGGGAGGGAGGAGGTGAGAGAAATAACGATAAAGTGGTCTTGTATGGTCACAAGAGAACATAGCAGCACAGTAACAACATCAATGTGCCCTGGGCATATTCTAACAAAACTAATAAAGAGAACACATGACAATACAGGTTCCACAGCACAACAATATTGGTTCCCCCCCGCCGGTGTGAAAGCTAAAGTAGTGCTTACTGTCGTATGAACTGCACCGCATCCTCATACTTCATCCCTGTCTCAATCAGAGCTAAGGCCACCAGGACTGGAGCTCTACAGGAGAGAGAAGAGAGAAGGGAGAGAGATAAATACCAGTATGCATGCAGTGTCATGGTTATGTGGGCAGCAGGGAGGGTGGGGTGAGGGTATACTCTAAAGCTGGGAAATTGGCCTGGGAAACGCACAGGGATTCAATGCAACACAGCTGGGGCATCAAGTTCACACCTCGGGCCCACACACACAGTGAAATTGTGATAAGTGTGTTGCTGTAAGCAAACCTTCTTTCACCAGGAAGAAGAAGAAAAAAACAACAAAACTTTCAATTCCCAGACAGACTGCCCGGAGTGTCAAAACTCAGCTGACAGGGGATTCGTGTGTGGGTTTTGAGAGAGACTGATACAAAATACAAACTCAAAAAGACCTGTGGTGTTGATGTTATACTAAACAAAATATACAGACCACAAAGTCAAATTGGCTATTATTAAACTCTTCGACATTATCATTATTCCCCAATATTTGGAACCAAGTTCTTGTCACCCCAATCCACAAAATGTAACACATTTGACCCCAATAATTACAGTGGAATCTATGTCAACAGCAATCTCTGAAAAATCCTCTGCAGTATCATCAACAGCTGACTCCAACATTTCCTCAGTGAAAATAATGTCCTGAACAAATGTCAAAATCGGCATCACCAAAATACCATACGACAGACCACGTATACACCCTGCACATTCTTCCTGACAAAAACAAAACAAATGCAGTCTTCTCATGCTTTGTTGATTTAAAAAAAGCTTTGACTCAATTTGGCATGAGGGTCTGCTACAGAAATTGATGTAAAGCGGTGTTAGGGGAAAAAACGAAATCAAAGTACACAGAAAAGTGTGCAGTTAAAAATGGCAATAAACACAGATTTCTTTCCTCAGGGCCGTGGGGTATGACAGGGACGCGGCTTGAGCGGTTTGTTTTCCGTTCACATTTTGTTACAGCCTTATTCGAAAATTGATTAATGTTGTTCCTCAATCTCCACGCAATACCCCATAATGACAAAGCGAAAACAGGTTTTCAGAAGTGTTTGCAAATTAATACAAAATAAACAGAAATACCTTATTTACATGATTATTCAGAACCTTTTCTATGAGACTCGAAATTCAGCTCAGGTGCATCCTGTTTCTACAACTTGGGAGTCCACCTGTGGACATGATTTGGAAAGGCACACACCTGTCTATATAAAGGTCCCACAGTTGACAGTGCATGTTAGAGCAAAAACCAAGCCATGAGATCGAAGGAATTGTCCGTAGAGCTCCGAGAAAGGATTGTGTCGAGGCACATATCTGGGGAAGGGTACCAAAAAATGTCTGCAGCATTGAAGGTCCCCAAGAAAACAGTGGCCTCCATCATTCTTAAATGGAAGAAGTTTGGAACCACCAAGACTCTTCCTAGAGCTGGCCGCCAGGCCAAACTGAGCAATCGGGGGAGAAGGGCCTTGGTCAGGGAGGTGAACAAGGACCCGATGGTCACTCTGACAGAGCTCCAGAGTTCGTCTGTTGAGATGGGAGAACCTTCCAGAAGGGCAACCATCTCTGAGCGCTCCACCAAATCAGGCCTTTATGGTAGAGTGGCCAGACGGAAGCCACTCCTCAGTAAAAGGCACATGACAGCACGCTTGGAGTTTGCCAAAAAGCACCTAAAAGGACTCTCAGAACATGAGAAACTAGATTCTCTAGTCTAATGAAACCATGATTGAACTCTTTGGCCTGAATGCCAAAGCATCACGTCTGGAGGAAATCAGGCACTGAGCATCACCTGGCCAATACCGTCCCTACGGTGATGAACGGTGGTTGCAGCATGATGCTGTCGGGATATTTTTCACCGGCAGGGAAAGGAGACTAGTCAGGATCGAGGGAAAGATAAACGGAGCTAAGTACAGAGATCCTTGATGAAAACCTGCTCCAGAGCTCTCAGGACCTCAGACTGGACAACGACCCTAAGCACACAGCGAAGACAATGAAGGAGTGGCTTCGGGACAAGTCTCTGAATGTCCTTGAGTGGCCCAGCCAGAGCCCGGACTTAAACCCGATCGAACATCTCTGGAGAGACCTGAAAATAGCTGTGCAGCGAAGCTCCACATCCAACCTGACAGAGCTTGAGGATCTGCAGAGAAGAATGGGAGAAACTCCCCAAATACAGGTGTGCCAAGCTTGTAGCATCATACCCAAGAAGCCTCAAGGCTATAATCGCTGCAAAAGGTGATTCAACAAAGTACTGAGTAAAGGGTCTGAATACTAATGTAAATGTGATATGTTTTTAATATTTAATAAATGTGCAAAAAAAATCAAAATACCTATTTTTTAATCCATTTTAGAATAAGGCTGTAACGTAACAAAATGTGGAAAAAGTCAAGGAGTCTGAATACTTTCCGAATGCACCGTGTGTGTTTATATATACACACACGGTCAAATGTTTTAGACCACCTAGTCATTCAAGGGATTTCCATTATTTGTACTATTTTCTACATTGTAGAATAATAGTGAAGACATCAAAACTATGAAATACCACACGGAATCATGTAGTAACCAAAAAAGTGTTAAACAAATCCAAATATATTTTAAGGTTCTTCAAATAGACACCCTTTGCCTTTATGACAGCTTTGCACACTCTTGGCATTCTCTCAACCAGCTTCATGAGGTAGTCATCTGGAAAGCATTTAAATTAACAGGTGTGCCTTCTTAAAAGCTAATTTGTGGAATTTATTTCCTTCTTAATGTGTTTGAGCCAATCAGTTGTGTTATGACAAGGTGGGGTGGGGGAATACAGAAGATAGCCCTATTTGGTAAAAGACCAAGTCCATATTATGGAAAGAACAGCTCAAATAAGCAAAGAGAAACAACAGTCCATCATTACTTTAAGACATGAAGGTCAGTCAACACGGAAAATGTCAAGAACTTTGAAAGTTTCTTCAAGTGCAGTCGCAAAAACCATCAAGTGCTATGATGAAACTGGCTCTCATGAGGACCGCCACATGAATGGAAGACCCGGAGTTAACTTTGCTGCAAAGGATAAGTTAACTATCGTTACCAGCCTCAGAAATTGTAGCCCAGAAATGCTTCACAGAGTTCAAGTAACAGACACATCAACAGTTCAGACAAGACTGTGTGATTATGGCCTTCATGGTCGAATTGCTGCAAAGAAACACTACTAAAGGACACCAATAAGAAGATACATGCTTGGGACAAGAAACACGAGCAATGGACATTAGACCGGTGGAAATTTGTCCTTTGGTCTGGAGTCCAAATTGGAGATTTATGGTTCCAACCGCCATGTGTCTGAGACGCAGTGTGGGTGAACGGATGATCTCCGCATGTGTAGTTCCCACCGTAAAATATGGAGGAGGTGGTGTTATGGTGTGGGGGTGCTTTGCTGGTGAAACTGTCTGATTTATTTAGAATTCCAGGCACACTTAACCAGCATGGCTACCACAGCATTCTGCAGCGATACACCATCCCATCTGGTTTGGGCTTAGTGGGAGTATCATTAGTTTTTCAACAGGACAATTACCCAACACCTCCAGGCTGTGTAAGGGCAATTTTACCAAGAAGTAGAGTGATTGAGTGCTGCATCAGATGACCTGACCTCCACAATCCCCCGACCTCAACCCAATTGAGATGGTTTGGGATGAGTCGGACGGCAAAGTGAAGGAAAAGCAGCAAACAAGTGCTCAGCATATGCGGGAACTCCTTCAACAAGCTCCTCATGAAGCTGGTTGAGAGAATGCCAAGAGTGTGCAAAGCTGTCATCAAGGCAAAAAGTGGCTACTTTGAAGAATTTGAAATATAAAATATAAATTTGATTTGTATAATTTTTTTGGGGTTATTACATGATTCCATGTGTTATTTCATAGTTTTGATGTCTTCACTATAACTCTACAATGTAGAAAATAGTACAAATAAAGAAAAACCCTGGAATGAGTAAGTGTGTCCAAACTTTCGACTGGCACTGTGAATATACACACACAGTCAATAAAAAGGCAAGTGCCATTGAAGATCAATTTATCAACCCCGTAATATCAACTGGTTAAATTATGTTGTGGAACTCAATCTTAAAAAAGTCAGTAACCTCAGCAGTGGTGCTTGCTTGTAAAGCCCATGGCTGTGCAATGGCGTAGCCTTGCTTTGTTAATTCAGTAGACAATACACTTATTACCAGAGCCCTTAAATCAGTCAAGACACATTTTATTGTAAAAAAATAAAATAAAAAATCATAATATAAAAATGTTCAAATGAAAAAAAGTTGCCACTGCAAAGTGATACACATCTCGCATCTCAAACAGTTATTCTCAAAGAGTGATCATTTGAAACGGGACTCAATTTGGCGAGATGAAATCATTTTTTCAGGGTTAAAAAACAAAATCTGTCTCCTTTTCAATATTGCAGTCATTTGATTTATTCTGCAAAATGGATTAACAATCCCACATTGAACACTGCATGGTGACGAATTACAACCACAACATGTTTGGTTAGTAGGCCTAGGCTTAATGATTCTGATAAATCTGCTCTGTCTTTATCAAACTAATGTTTTTGCGTATTTTCAGTGTGTAACCTGTATGTTTAGGGGGGTTATAGGCTAACCAATTCTAAATGGCACAAGCAGTTTGCAATGTAGCCTATGCGGAAAACAGACAACACAATTATGTAAAAAATGCAGCTCGTTGTTGGAACACATTCTCCTTCGTCAATCAACCAGTCCATTTTGAATGTGTGATAAAACTGTCGTCATTTGGCAAGGAATGTAGCTTGTGTATCCCACCAGTTAGATACATTTTTATAAGCATTTATTTCTGTAGGCCTAACAGAAGGTTTTGTGCACACCCATGTGTAGGGAGTGGTCGGAACGCAATTGAGTGAATGAGACAGAGGAGAAAAGGAATTTAGGGAGAAGAACTGTGTGATGCTTGGCTTCTATTTTTTTTTGTGCCCTGCAAATGCACATGTACAAATAAAACACTAGAGTCAAAGCAAATTAACATGGTCTTCAAGATAACATTTTCATTTTTTTCAGAACAAAATTTTACTTGCCCATCCGGGCAGCCAAAAAGCACATTACACCAAATAGTTTTACAGTATTTGAAAGAGAAAAAAAACTGAAGATCTCTGACGTCCATTGGAGTACTCATCGCTAGTCGTTAGATGGGTCTCACTAGCCACAATTAAGCCCACTTACACACATTCACCTGGCCCACTTACCAACACACACACACACACACACACAGGTCAATACCCTCACCGGCCCAGCCCCGCCACACAGTGCACGGCGATGCAGCAGCCAGGTTCGTCTCGGAACTTGGTCTTCAGCAGGTTCAGCCAGTCATCTACTATCTGGGTGGGGGGCGGGGCGCCATCATCAAAGGGCCAGTCCTACGGAGGAAGAGGAACACATTTTTTAAAAATGGATCAAACCAGGGGCTCGGGGTTCATTTAACCAGTGGTCAATGCTGAAGGTCAGTACAGGATAATTCAATCAAAGCCTGATTGAAGCTTTAGAGCAGCTTTGTCCATTAGGCTATATCATGCGTGTGTCTAAGTTGGAAAGCTTGATATGCTGAATAGTGTGTGTGTGTGTGTGTGTGTGTATGGTGTGTCCTGGCAGACAGCCTGACCCCTGTATATCCGTCTGAGCCTCTGTACTCGTGCTGACCCAGTGTCTCTGCTACAGCTCAGCACAGACCACATCTCTATATTTCTCTCCCCCTTGCTCATATCATCCTCTCCTTGTTGCAGCCTTCTCTCTCCATGTCTGTGACTCATGACATGTACCAGTTTTATGTAGGCATCAATCACAGACTCTTTTCATATTTGATGAGTGACAAAGACAGGAACAGACAACGGGTTGTGTTATTAATTCTTTACGCTGTAGTTTGTCAATCTGCAATGCGTTTGGCCATGCTTTGAAAATTCTGGTATCTTTCCCAAAATGCCCAAGGTTTACTGAAATCCTGGTTGTAGGATTCCCAGATTCCCTGCTAATTCCCTCATGATTCTGGGAATTTTCCAATCGGGATTTCAAGAAATGGTGCAATTGTGCATGGCTATTCCTGTCTTGGTGCTCAACCAATATCAAAACCGGATTGTGATCATCATTACAGCCTGCATAACATTTAATCCAATACATTGGAGAGTGACAGGCAGAGGAATGCTCCAGGAAGAGAGGTGGTGATGACCGTATTAAAACTGTATCAAGGAGAGGGGATAGGATATTTCCTCTCCCAAACACAAGGTGTCTCTGGCCTTCCTTAAATAATCTGTGAGACAGCTGAATACTAACCTAAACTGTGAGAAGATACAATACAGTGCACATAAGAGAGAAACAGACAGAGAGCAAGAAGGCCTGGGTGGAGCCTTCTTCATGTGGATCTGAGCCAGAGATTCCTTCTCTTCTCTACCTCTCAGCTCAGCACACAGTGGCAGGCAGACAGTTGAGGACAAATGAAGACAGATAACAGGGAAGGTCTCCAGAGAGGGAAAAACACCTTTTTAACTTGACATTCCATGGAAGAAAGAAACAGCAAATTCAACTACCCTAAAATTCCTAGGAGGCAAACAAATACATCTGGCATTCGGTTCAGTTATACATTTTTACTGCTCTCTAGGTATGTGTGCAATCTCCTCCACCAGCCGGCTCTCGCTGTCGAACCATCTGGCTTCACAGCGCCTCAGAATAGAACTTGAATCAAGTTGAGTGGAAAATCCATTGGGCTTCCCAAAAATGATATGGTTAAACCTGCACACCAGTATATATATTTTTGTGTTTCTAGTGTGTGTGTGTGTGTGTGTGTGTGTGTGTGTGTGTGTGTGTGTGTGTGTGTGTGTGTGTGTGTGTGTGTATCTATATATATATATATACAGTGGGGAAAAAAAGTATTTAGTCAGCCACCAATTGTGCAAGTTCTCCCACTTAAAAAGATGAGAGAGGCCTGTAATTTTCATCATAGGTACACGTCAACTATGACAGACAAAATGAGAAAAAAAAATCCAGAAAATCACATTGTAGGATTTTTTATGAATTGATTTGCAAATTATGGTGGAAAATAAGTAATTTGGTCAATAACAAAAGTTTCTCAATACTTTGTTATATACCCTTTGTTGGCAATGACACAGGTCAAACGTTTTCTGTAAGTCTTCACAAGGTTTTCACACACTGTTGCTGGTATTTTGGCCCATTCCTCCATGCAGATCTCCTTTAGAGCAGTGATGTTTTGGGGCTGTCGCTGGGCAACACGGACTTTCAACTCCCTCCAAAGATTTTCTATGGGGTTGAGATCTGGAGACTGGCTAGGCCACTCCAGGACCTTGAAATGCTTCTTACGAAGCCACTCCTTCGTTGCCCGGGCGGTGTGTTTGGAATCATTGTCATGCTGAAAGACCCAGCCACGTTTCATCTTCAATGCCCTTGCTGATGGAAGGAGGTTTTCACTCAAAATCTCACGATACATGGCCCCATTCATTCTTTCCTTTACACGGATCAGTCGTCCTGGTCCCTTTGCAGAAAATCAGCCCCAAAGCATGATGTTTCCACCCCCATGCTTCACAGTAGGTATGGTGTTCTTTGGATGCAACTCAGCATTCTTTGTCCTCCAAACACGACGAGTTGAGTTTTTACCAAAATGTTCTATTTTGGTTTCATCTGACCATATGACATTCTCCCAATCCTCTTCTGGATCATCCAAATGCACTCTAGCAAACTTCAGACGGGCCTGGCTTAAGCAGGGGGACACGTCTTTCACTGCAGGATTTGAGTCCCTGGCGGCGTAGTGTGTTACTGATGGTAGGCTTTGTTACTTTGGTCCCAGCTCTCTGCAGGTCATTCACTAGGTCCCCCCGTGTGGTTCTGGGATTTTTGCTCACCGTTCTTGTGATCATTTTGACCCCACGGGGTGAGATCTTGCGTGGAGCCCCAGATCGAGGGAGATTATCAGTGGTCTTGTATGTCTTCCATTTCCTAATAATTGCTCCCACAGTTGATTTCTTCAAACCAAGCTGCTTACCTATTGCAGATTCAGTCTTCCCAGCCTGGTGCAGGTCTACAATTTTGTTTCTGGTGTCCTTTGACAGCTCTTTGGTCTTGGCCATAGTGGAGTTTGGAGTGTGACTGTTTGAGGTTGTGGACAGGTGTCTTTTATACTGATAACAAGTTCAAACAGGTGCCATTAATACAGGTAACGAGTGGAGGACAGAGGAGCCTCTTAAAGAAGAAGTTACAGGTCTGTGAGAGCCAGAAATCTTGCTTGTTTGTAGGTGACCAAATACTTATTTTCCACCATAATTTGCAAATAAATTCATTAAAAATCCTACAATGTGATTTTCTGGATTTTATTTCCTCAATTTGTCTGTCATAGTTGACGTGTACCTATGATGAAAATTACAGGCCTCTCTCATCTTTTTAAGTGGGAGAACTTGCACAATTGGTGGCTGACTAAATACTTTTTTCCCCCACTGTATATATCTATCTATCTATATCCACACACACACACACACACACACACTGAGTATACAAACCATTAAGAACACCTGCTCTTACCATGACAGACTGACCAGTTGTATCCAGGTAAACGCTATGATCACTAATTGATGTCACTTGTTAAATCCACTTCAAATCAGTGTAGATGAAGGGGAGGAGACAGGTTAAAGAAGGATTTTTAAGCCTTGAGACAATTGAGATATGGATTGTGTAAGTGTGCAATTCAGAGGGTGAATTGTGCCTTTCAATGTGGTATGGTAGTAGGTGCCAGGCACACTGGTTTTTGTCAAAAACTGCAACGCTGCTTGGTTTTTCATGCGCAACAGTTTCCCGTGTGTATCAAGAATGGTCCACCTCCCAAAGGACATCCAGCCAACTTGACACAACTGTGGGAAGCATTGGAGTCAACATGGGCCAGCATCTCTGTGGAACGTTTGACACCTTGTACAGTCCATGCCCCGATGAATTGAGGCTGTTCTGAGCACAAAAAGGGGTTGTGCGACGCAATATTAGTAAGGTGTTCCTAATGTTTGGTATACTCAGTGTATATACATTGCATTCGGAAAGTATTCAGACAACTCGACATTTTCCACATTTTGTTACGTTACAGCCTTATTCTAAAATTTTTGTTTGAAACAACTCAAATCTACACACTACTCCATAATGACAACGCAAAAACAGGCTGTAAAAATGTTTTGCTAATAAAAAAACGGAAAGAATATACATTTACATAAGTATTTAGACCCTTTACTCAGTACTTTGTTGAAGCACCTTTGGCAGCGATTACAGCCTCGAGTCTTCATGGGTATGACGCTACAAGCTTGGCACACCTGTATTTGGGGAGTTTCTCCCATTCTTCTCTGCAGATCCTCTCAAGCTCTGTCAGGTTGGATGGGGAGTGTCGCTGCACAGCTATACTTTCAGGTCTCTCCAGAGATGTTTGTTCGGGTTCAAGTCCGGGCTCTGGCTGGGCCACAAAAAGGCATTCAGAGACCTGTCCTGAAGCCACTCCTGCATTGTCTAGGCTGTGTGCTTATGGTCGTTGTCCTGTTGGAAGGTGAACCGTCGCCCCAGTCTGAGGTCCTAAGCGCTCTGGAGCAGGTTTTCATTAAGGAGCTCTCTGTACTTTGCTCCATTCATCTTTCCCTCCCTTGACTAGTCTCACAGTCCCTGCAGCTGAAAAACATCCCCACCGCATGATGCTGCCACCACCATGCTTCACTGTAGGGATGGTGCCAGGTTTCCTCCAGACGTGACGCTTAGCATTCAGGCCAAAGAGTTCAATCTTGGTTTCATCAGACCAGAGAATCTTGTTTCTCATGGTCTGAGTCTTTTCGGTGCCTTTTGGCAAATTCCAAGCATGCGGTCATGTGCCTTTTACTGAGGAGTGGCTTCCGTCTGGCAACTCTACCATAAAGGCCTGATTGGTGGAGTGCTGTAGAGATGGTTGCCCTTCTGGAAGGTTCTCCCATCTCCACAGAGGAACTATGGTGCTCTGTAAGAGTGACCATTGGGTTCTTGGTCACCTCCCTGACCAAGGCCCTTCTCCCCCAATTGCTCAGTTTGGCCGGGCGTCTAGCTCTAGGAAGAGTCTTGGTGGTTCCAAACTTCTTCCATTTAAGAATGATGGAGGCCACTGTGTTCTTGGGGACCTTAAATGCTGAAGAAATGTTTTGGTACCCTTCCCCAGATCTATGCCTTCGACACAATCCTGTCTCGGAGCTCTACGGACAATTCCTTCGACCTCATGGCTTGGTTCTTGCTAAGACATGCACTGTCAACTGTGGGACCTTACATAGACAAGTGTGTGCCTTTACAAATAATGTCCAATCAATTTAAATTTACCACAGGTGACTCTAATCAAGTTGTAAAAACATCTTAAGGATGATCAATGGAAACCGGATGCACCTGAGCACAACTTCGAGTCTCATATCGAATGGTCTGAATACTTATGTAAATAAGGTATTTCGGTTTTCTAAAAAACTGTTTTCGCTTTGCCATTATGGGGTATTGTGTGTAGATTGATGAGGGAAAAACATAATGTAATCAATTTTAGGATAAGGCTGTAACGTAACAAAATGTGGAACAAGTCAAGGGGTCTGAATACTTTCCAAATGCACTGTATATGACCATTTTATAAATGGTATAATTGTGTGATATGATAGCATTTTGCAAACCCGCTCCCCCAGTCGCGCCAAGATTAATGATTTTGACCACTAAAGTCTTGCTTCACTACACACTCCACTGCTTTGATTGGTGTAACGTTAGCTAGAAACCACACCTGTCCAGATAATGAAAAGGCACCGAAAATGTTATTTGCGGTGTGCATGATCATGAGCAAAGTCATTGTAGCCTTTCATTTTACTCCCCCTGTGAAAACCGTGAGCATGGGCTGACTTGGCTTTGCTGTACCATAGCCAGCAAGCAGCCTACCTACCAAAGGTTGCACAGTGTCCATTATAATGTCGAAAAACGCATATCAGTTAGCTTTCAATAGTTATCCATATTACCATCTTATTCTTTCTAACTATTTCTATGGTGGATTCGCGGCCACAATTTATGGAAGACGCCAAAACTTTGGCGATAACAATAGATGGCGAAGTCATCTGAGGAAAAGTTTTCCCTACATCAATGCTTATGACAAATCCAGCTCCAGAACCAGCTATAGAGCCAGCTGGCTAATCTTTTGAATACAGTGTGGTAAAGAAAAAAAAAAGAAAAATAACATAACATTAACTTGCTAGATAGGGTTAGCATGCTAGCTAGCTACACCGACCGCTGTCAGTGCCCCATTTGTTGATGTTTAGCAACTCCACGTGGAAATTCCCACACCTAATTCTTCAATATGTATAAGTAGCCTTCATCATTCTTCGGCGATGGAACCTAAACGTGCACTTCCTCTGTAGGACAGAAAATTATGTTGAAATAGTGTAGGCAGTCTGGGGGGGGGGGGGGGGATTTATTTAATGTGATAGAACATTGATTTTGATTGCATCTAATACAACTGTCGCCTCGATTTAGAGCAACGCCTCAGTTGTGTGATTCGCTCAGAATTTGACTTGATTAGTATGTCACTCAGTAAATCCACACCCCCAAAGTTCCAAATAGTCCCACACTTACCAGGCTCTATGCGCTAGCAAGTCAAGCCTGGGGACAAGGTTAGTGTGTGTGTAATCCTTACCACGACCTGGATCCCCCCCTTCTCCACTGGGGCCTTGTCGTAGGTGGCATCACACACTCTCACCAGTGTCTTCACCTCAAACTTCTTCAGCTCCTGAGAGAGAGATCGAGACAGAGAGAGATCGAGACAGAGAGAGATCGAGACAGAGAGAGATCGAGACAGAGAGATCGAGACAGAGACAGAAAGAGAGAGATCGAGACAGACAGACAGAGAGATCGAGACAGACAGACAGAGAGATCGAGACAGACAGACAGAGAGATCGAGACAGACAGACAGACAGACAGACAGAGATCGAGACAGACAGACAGACAGAGATCGAGACAGACAGACAGACAGAGATCGAGACAGACAGACAGACAGAGATCGAGACAGACAGACAGAGATCGAGACAGAGAGATCGAGACAGAGAGAGATCGAGACAGAGAGATCGAGAGAGACAGAGAGATCGAGAGAGACCGAGAGAAACCGAGATCGAGAGAGACCGAGAGAGACCGAGATCGAGAGAGACCGAGATCGAGAGAGACCGAGACCGAGAGAGACCGAGATTGAGACAGAGAAGGAGAGAGACCGAGATTGAGACAGAGAAGGAGAGAGACCGAGATCGAGAGAGACCGAGATCGAGAGAGACCGAGATCGAGACAGACAGAGAAGGAGACGAGAGAGAGGACGAGAGAGAAAAAGACGGAGAGAGAGACCGAGAAGGAGAGAGATCGAGACAGACAGAGATCGAGAAGACAGACAGACAGAGATCGAGACAGAAGACAGACAAGAGACGAGAAGAGACAGACAGAGATCGAGACAGAGAGATCGAGACAGAGAGAGACGAGACAGAGAGATCGAGAGAGAGACAGAGAGATCGAGGAGAGAGACGCGAGAGAGAAGAACCGAGATCGAGAGAGACGAGAGAGAGACCGAAAGACGATCGAGAGAGACGCGAGATCGAGAGGAGGAGGACGAGAACCGAGAGGAGAGACCGAGATGAGACAGAGAGAGAGAGAGGACACGAGAGAGGACAGAGAAGGAGAGAGACCGAGACAGAGAGAGAGACGAGATCAGAGAGACCGAGATCGAGACACGAGAGGATCGAGAACAGACGAAGAGTCAGAGCCCGGACGAGACAGAGAGGAGATCGAGACGAAAGAGACCGAGATCGAGAGAGACCGAGATCGAGAGGGACCGAGAGAGACAGAGAGACAGAGAAGAGAGACCGAGAGACGAGACGAGAGAGACGAGAAGAGAAGGAGAGAGAAACCGAGAGAGACCGAGATGCGAGAAGAGAGATCGAGAAGGAGAGAGAGAGAGAGAGACCGAGATCGAGAGACGAGGAGAGAGGACCGAGAGAGACCGGATCGAGAGAGAGCGAGAGCGGAAGAAGGACGAGAGAGACGAGACGAGACGAGAGAGGAGAGAGATCGAGACAGACAGAGAGAGAGAGATCGAGACAGACAGAGAGAGAGAGATCGAGACAGACAGAGAGAGAGAGATCGAGACAGACAGAGAGAGAGAGATCGAGAGACAGAGAGAGCGACGAGCAGGAGAGAGAGAGATCGAGACAGACAGAGAGAGATCGAGACAGAAAGAGAGATTTGGATGCAGACAGCAAGAGAGAGATCTCGACAGACCAGACAGACATGAGATCGAGACAGACAGACAGACAGAGATCGAGACAGACAGACAGACAGAGATCGAGACAGACAGACAGACAGAGATCGAGACAGACAGACAGACAGACAGAGATCGAGACAGACAGACAGACAGAGATCGAGACAGACAGAGAGAGATCGAGACAGACAGACAGAGATCGAGACAGAGATCGAGACAGAGATCGAGACAGAGAAGGAGAGAGATCGAGAGAGACCGAGAGAGACCGAGATCGAGAGAGAGAGACCGAGAGAGACCGAGAGAGAGAGACCGAGAGAGATCGAGAGAGATCGAGAGAGAGAGACCGAGAGAGATCGAGAGAGATCGAGAGAGAGAGACCGAGAGAGATCGAGAGAGAGAGACCGAGAGAGATCGAGAGAGAGACCGAGAGAGATCGAGAGAGAGAGACCGAGATAGAGAAGGAGAGAGATCGAGACAGAGATCGAGACAGAGATCGAGACAGATCGAGACAGAGACAGAGAGAGATCGAGACAGAGAGAGATCGAGACAGAGAGAGATCGAGACAGAGAGAGATCGAGACAGACAGAAAGAGAGAGATCGAGACAGAAAGAGAGAGATCGAGACAGAAAGAGAGAGATCGAGACAGAAAGAGAGAGATCGAGACAGAAAGAGAGAGATCGAGACAGAAAGAGAGAGATCGAGACAGAAAGAGAGAGATCGAGACAGAAAGAGAGAGATCGAGACAGACAGACAGAGAGAGAGATCGAGACAGACAGAGAGATCGAGACAGACAGACAGACAGAGATCGAGACAGACAGACAGACAGAGATCGAGACAGACAGAGATCGAGACAGACAGACAGACAGAGATCGAGACAGACAGAGATCGAGACAGACAGAGATCGAGACAGAGAAGGAGAGAGATCGAGAGAGACCGAGAGACCGAGATCGAGAGAGAGAGACCGAGAGAGATCGAGAGAGAGAGACCGAGATAGAGAAGGAGAGAGATCGAGACAGAGAGAGAGATCGAGACAGAGAGAGAGATCGAGACAGATCGAGACAGAGAGAGATCGAGACAGACAGAGAGAGAGATCGAGACAGACAGAGAGAGAGATCGAGACAGACAGAGATCGAGATCGAGACAGACAGAGATCGAGATCGAGACAGACAGAGATCGAGATCGAGACAGACAGAGATCGAGATCGAGACAGACAGAGATCGAGATCGAGACAGACAGAGATCGAGATCGAGACAGACAGACAGAGATCGAGATCGAGACAGACAGAGATCGAGACAGACAGACAGAGATCGAGACAGACAGACAGAGATCGAGACAGACAGACAGAGATCGAGACAGACAGACAGAGATCGAGACAGACAGACAGAGATCGAGACAGACAGACAGAGATCGAGACAGACAGACAGAGATCGAGACAGACAGACAGAGATCGAGACAGAGAGAGATCGAGACAGAGAGAGATCGAGACAGAGAGAGATCGAGACAGAGATCGAGAGAGAGAGATCGAGACAGAGAGATCGAGAGAGAGATCGAGACAGAGAGAGATCGAGACAGAGAGATCGAGACAGAGAGAGATCGAGACAGAGAGAGATCGAGACAGAGAGAGATCGAGACAGAGATCGAGAGAGAGATCGAGAGAGATCGAGAGAGAGAGAGACAGAGAGAGAGAGACAGAGAGAGAGAGAGACAGAGAGAGAGAGAGACAGAGAGAGAGAGAGAGAGAGAGAGAGAGAGAGAGAGAGAGAGAGAGAGAGAGAGACGGTATCAGCAAAGATATCTTGTACTCTAAACTATTTATGTTTAATTGTAGGTTGAACTGAGGGAATTTGTTATAGGCTACTTTGGTGAGGTTATTGATGCATGTACATACAGTCAGATGTATGTGTATGTCACTCCACAGTGAACTTGAGCGTTGAATTGATAAGGTTATACATGCAGACACTACAGGACAACGCACAAGCAACACACATGCCCACACACAACGTGGCGGCCTCACCTCGGTGAACTTGTTGAGCGTGGCGTTGGTGGGGTTGTGTGTGATGAGGAACCTCATGCCCTCGTAGGCAATCTCCACTGCTGCAGGGCGGTTCATGTTGGCGAGACGGCTTTGAAAACAATTACAATAAAATACTTATAATCTCTTACAAAAAGGATGACTACTTTTGGCTCAGATGTCAGCAAGGACTTCTAGTAGGATTCTGTAGGTTAAAAAAATTAATAAATAAAAACACGCCAACGAAGGGAGGTGGAGGAGGAGAGGAATGTGCATGGAAATGCCTGTGGATGTTTTACAAAAAAAGAGGGGTAACAAAAAATATGGATGAAATAGTCCACAAGACTCCACGGGTGGGGGGGGGGGGGGGATTGAGTTGTTACAAATTTAAATAAAATAAAAATTGGGGAGACTATCCACGAGTCATCCAATCGGACATTCAGATTTTACCCCATTCAGGAGAGCGGTATGTGATTGGCTTCTGGGAGAGAAAGCAGGAAGTAGAAGAGAACTGTGCAGTTTTCTTATTGGCGGCTCAGGGGACAGAGCTGGGCGATCTGGCCAAGGACTACGCGGTATCCCAGGGGATCGTTGGAGGAGACAGGGATTCCCAGTGTGCTGGCTTCAGGGGGGCTTCTGGGTAGCGTAGTCCCGAGGGGGGCGGACGATTCACTTGTCCACGAAGGCGAGGTGCTGTGCCTGGCAGAAGTCTCCACTGACACTCACATACGCCATATATGTATGGCCCAAATCAACACAGAAACACTGCGAGAAAAGAGAGGGGGGAAAGAGAAAAATGTGGTTAGGTAAACTCAAATAGAGAAGGCAACAGTCACCATTTAGCAAGGCGTCATTGAAGTTTTTGAAGAGCAAGGCGGGGCAAAGAAATCTAAAAGTGCCTGTTAGGGAAACTGGTAAACTAATCACAGAAGAAATATGACCAATCATATATTTGGACTATTAAAACCTAAATCAGAGCCATTATCACCTTTGTACTCAAGGTGATATAAACCCCCACATATTTATTATCAGCCACACTCACATGGAAACGCATACAAAAACATGCAAGGACAAATTGTACATAGAAACAGACATGGGCACACACACACACACACACAAATAAAGACACAGACACCCACGATCTCTTGGCTTCAAAAGAGAGCCTCATAAAGCATGTAATGTCTCGCCGCTAACCGGCTGATCCAGAGCCAACACCTGAAGGGTCTGAACCCAGCCACCACAAAATGGCTGGTAACTACCGCTGTCTAGTCACACACACAACATGACAGAGTCCAAGGGAGAGAGAGGGGGGTGTGGAGTGGAAGAGAGAAAAAGGGAGAAGTAAAACATTCAGTGTCTGCTGCTTTAGTCACAAGGTGAGGATTATGGTTGGCAAGGCTTCACACGAGCCAACTCTTTCACAGTCCCACACCCCCCCTTTCACCTCTCCGAGACTCTCCCTCTGTCGCCCAGTCATTCTCCTTCTCCATTCATCCCACGCTCAATGAGTCTCCTTAGGTCTCCTCTTTACTTCGGTCATTCTCTCCAGATTTCTGTCTTCTCTTTGGGAGAAATGGTTCTCCAATTTTCTTAGTGTCTTGCCTCTTTATTTCTGTCACTCTCTCCAGATTTTTGTTTCTCTCTTGGTAGAAATGGTTCTCCATTTTTCGCTAGTGTCTTGCCTACTCTTTCCCCATAGGCCTCTTTCTCTACCCCTCTCCACCCATCCTCTTCTAAACTCTTCTCACCTCTCTAATACTCTCTCCTCTCTCTCTAACCCCTCTCCCCCTCCTCTTTCTCTACCTCTCTCCCCATCCTCTTTCTCTACCTCTCTCCCCATCCTCTTTCTCTACCTCTCTCCCCATCCTCTTTCTCTACCTCTCTCCCCATCCTCTTTCGCTACCTCTCCACACCCATCCTTTTCTCTCCCCTCTCCCCCCCTCCTCTTTCTCTACCTCTCCCCCCCATCCTCTTTCTCTCTACCTCTCCCCCCCACACCTCTTTCTCTACCTATCTCATATCTTAGTCTGTCTCAGTCTGTCGTGGCACCGGTACAGAGCAGTCGTCTCGGAACAGGGTAACTCCTTAAAAAGACACACCGACCCTCTATACACTTGACTCACTTTGCCTTGCTCACCTTCTCTGCAGACAGAGGGAGCGAGAGGTGCCTGCCTTGCCCACTTAATCTCTCACTCTGTGCCAATTACTGCCAGGGCTACTCTTCCGAGACTAAAACCAACCTTCTCTCCCCCTTTCTCCTGCCATCTCTCTGCCTTAGCCGGTGACAGAAACAGGGCCAGTCTTCAAAAGAGCCACCGTTCTCCAGTGGGTAAAGATCTCTCCCTGATGCCTTTAATTACCAGCTCCAAACAGCACTAAAAACACTATTGGAGAAAAAAATCAACAATCTAGTTACATATCGGCTTATTATTTTTGACGATATCGTATAATTTTGACAATATCGCAATATAATTTTTGCGCTAGTTGGCTGTACCTGCACCAAAACTCCAGCATTTTTCCTCCATAGCTTGTTCTCCTCCTTTTTAAATAGGGAGCCAATTAGTTTTCTCCACTTTTATTTCCTTTCTCTCGTCCCTCTGCAGCAGACATACGGTGAGCAATATGTTTGGAACATCGAAACACAAAATCAGAGTATTGAATCGCAATACATATAGAATCGTGAGAATCGCAATGTGTATCAGCACCTAAATATTGTGATATCATTTCGTGAGGACCCTGGCAATTCCCAGTCCTACTATACACAATGCATTGCAGTATGGCACCGCCACAAACACATTCATTATGATCTAAAAGGGAAAATGGATCAGGACCAGACAAACGGTGTCAGGTCGAGGAAGAAAGTGGGAATGAAAAAATAAACTTCAGAGCAGTATGTCATCAGCTTCTAATTTTTCAGTAAAAGACGGATATCATATGGGAGATAGGTTCTCAACAAGGTTTTCAACAGGTGCCACTCAGTGATCTGTCAACAACAGAGGAAGAATCAGAGGAGAGAGATGGCGCTGCTTCCCAAATGGCACCCAAACACCATTTTGTGTACTACTTTTGACCAGGACCAAGTAGTGCACTATAAAGGGAGCCATTTGGGACACAGCCAGAGCGAACGTTTCTCCAGAGAAAGCGTGAGAGAGCAATCAAATACAACAACGTGTGTGGAGAGTGACAGACAAGTGAAGTCAGAGACCAACCCAATGGAGGTAGAAAGACCAGACTACTATAATGACAGGCAACAGGAATGCAATGCTCACACAATATCACACTTAATAGATGTGATGACGCACAATCTTGAGCTTATCAAATTGTACTACAATCAGCCTCAAAACAACGCCTTTAAAATGGAGTCCCACAGCTTGCAGTGCCTCCAAACATGAGTACACAGCAGTTGTGCTGCAAACAGCAGCTAAGTAGAATCCTTCATAGCTAAGTGGTATTAGCATCAATTTCCATTCAGTCAGCATATAGACTTACATATGTCAAGGTCCTTTCTCCCTAATAATAGTCACCTAGCCATGCCTCAATAGTCCCAAGTTAATGTCAATGAATATGGAGGAAAGGAGACAAGGAGAGGAAGCCAATCGTCAGACTATTGAGATGCACCCCAGTTAAAGCCGGTCTCTGAGTGGCACTAGCTAGAGGAACAGCCCTCGGCAAGCACATTGTGGTAAAGCCAGACCAGCCATTCTTCCACAACGCTGCCGGGAACTCATGCAAATCACTCAGCCATATTTGCAAACAACAACTTCTGCAATTGCGCCCAGCTGTCAGCACAGATGGAGAGAAGAGCGCAAACACACCAAATCAGTCTGTAAAGATGGTGTTTGTTACCACACAGGAAATACAACACATAATGTACCTTTATGAACACTGTGCGTATGTGTGTGACAGTGAAACTGACTGCTATCAGGCATAATTGTGTAGCCTAACCATGAGTAGTTGACAAAGATGTAGGCCTAGACAATTATAAAATAACTCAAAATTGGTCAAACTCCTAATTTCAACCAGGAAACTGAACTAGCCAACCTAAAACACAAAAAGAAACACACAGCTAGGCCTACATTCAAGACAAATGCCAACAAGGGGCCTATTTAGGCCTACATTCAGGTCAACCGGGTTAGAAACGCTTTATTATTTTTGTCTAGCCTACAACCTTCATAATTAGGCCACTTATGTCATCATTATTTGGCATTGCCTCACAGCTGCTCCACACAACTCTGCTGTTGAACGAGCGCTAACGAAGAACATGAAACACCACAAGCTGATTATTATCCTGAAGCTCTCCTGCTATGTCACACATACACTAAAGCACCGTTGTTGTGAGTACCAACATGTCCCTTTCTTTTCCAGCTGGACTGAATGTTGTTTAGTACACACTGTGTGTCCACTCAGCACTAAGAAATTGTTCAACTAGCTACATCAAGTATTTTCTTCCACCGGATACTGAGATAGGCTTAGCCTAATATATGAACCTGGGAAAAACATCTACAAAAAGTCACCACCACCACACACCACTAAACTACCCACACGTATTCTGTAGGGCTGGGAATTGCCAGGGACCTCATTTACATTTTAGTCATTTAGCAGACGCTCTTATCCAGAGCGACTTACAGTTAAGTGAGTGCATACATTTTATTTATTTTTTCCACTGGCACCACGTGGGAATCAAACCCACAACCCTGGCGTTGTAAACACCATGCTCTACCAACTGAGCTACATCCCGATACAACATAATCACGACACTTAGGTGCCAATACGAAATATATTGCGATTCTCACGATTCAGGAACAACTGCTCTTTCCATGACAGACTGACCAGGTGAATCCAGCTGAAAGCTATGATCCCTTATTGAGGTCACCTGTTAAATACACTTCAATCAGTGTAGATGGAGACAGGTCAAAGAAGGATTTTTAAGCCTTGAGACATGGATTGTGTATGTGTGCCATTCAGAGGGTGAATGGGCAAGACAAAATATTTAAGTGCTTTTGAACAGGCATGGTACTAGGTTTGTGTGCGTCAAGAACTGCAACGCTGCTGGGTTTTTCACGCACAACATTTTTCCATGTGTATCACGAATGGTCCACCACCTAAAGGACATCCAGCCAACTTGACAACTGTGGGAAGCATTGGAGTCAACATGGGCCAGCATCCTTGTTGAAAGCTTGACACCGTGTAGAATCCATGCCGACGAATTGAAGGTGTTCTGAGGGCAAAAGGGGGTGCAACGCAATATTAGGAAGGTGTTCCTAATGTTTTGTACATTCAGTGTATATGTAATTGCGATTTGATGTTCCAAACCTATTGCTCACTATATGTCTGCTGCAGAGGGATAAGACAGCTACGAGACAAAAAGTTTTGATCAGTCATGGAAATAAGTGGTGAAAACATGTTGGCTCACTATTTAAACAGAAGACTGATGGAAAATACTGGAATTTTGGCACAGGTACAGCCGACTAGCACTAGCTAATGCCATCTACAGTAGAAAAAATATTATATATAAACTCAGCAAAAAAGAAACGTCCTCTCACCGTCTCACTGAGTTTATTTTTAGCAAACTTAACATGTGTAAATATTTGTATGAACATAACAAGATTCAACAACTGAGACAAACTGAACAAGTTCCACAGACATGTGACTAACAGAAATTGAATAATGTGTCCCTGAACAAAGGGGGGGGGTCAAAATCAAAAGTAACAGTCAGTATCTGGTGTGGCCACCAGCTGCATTAAGTACTGCAGTACATCTCCTCCTCATGGACTGCACCAGATTTGCCAGTTCTT